AAGTAATTAAGTGCACAGTTTGTCTGCTGTTAGTTGTATGTAAGCTTCAGTTACATGGGACCACTGTATGTTTGTTGATTAGTAGTAATTTCAATCAATGGGTTTATTCAATCTGTCTCACATCACACAAAGACTTCAATGTCATGGACATAAATTATTTTTCTAATCACTCAACATAGGTAATACTGTAGTGCTAACATGTGCATTACATTCAAGCAACAAATTAAACAAAAGTAAGAGAAAAGGCAAAGTAATAGGAAGTTGTAGTCAATTTTGAAGCAGTCTGCAATAGTGATTCAGTTTATCTATAAGCCAGTACCAGGGTCTACTGTGCTTATTTAATTAATCTATTGCTTATTTTTTGTTTTCTGTCAATCTTCAGTTTATGATTTAAAAAATACTGTTGCAGATATTTTAGCATTGTTGGAATGAATCTTCCTAAAGAACACGACCTGATTTCACAATGGTTTCTTATCAGTGATAACCTACAAATAACCATATTTAATAACTTAGCAATTATATTCTTATCTATGTAAAGTATACTTAATAAGTTTTATTAAACCTAAAATAACACTTTCAACTCACCTTTCAACCAGTGAAAACAAGTGCCAGGATGATGTACAGGTAGATACCATTTTGAACTAAATTAAAGAAGTTGTAACTCAGGACTCTTTTTACAAATTTAAGTATCCTTTTGCATATTGTAGCACTAAAGAGTACTCCGGTATATAATAATAAGCACCAGTTTATCCCAAGTAATTTTTTAATGTTCCACATTCCAGTTTAAGAATACTTCCTAACTTCAGAGATTTGTTAATGGAAATTTACATAATATGCCTCAGGTAGATGGTAAAAAAAAAACCCTGAAGCTGAAATTTAATGAATTGAAGTATGGTAGGCTTAGATTAAATATTTAACAGCTCAAATGGTGATCAGAATACTGAATATTTCAATTTGAGAGGGCGCTCTTCATGCTGATGGTTAAGCTTGACTGGTGATTCTGTATTTATTGCACCATTTGTGAATACTAATATTTCACTATTCAAATTAAATAATATTTTCGGTGCATACTGTGTATTTTGGTCATATGGTAAAGTAGAATAATTTTTAGTAGATAAAGCTTGTTCATTCTGATTGAATCAAGGGGTATTGATACAGTAACTGTTGGCATGCAGCCACACTACTGTACTGCTTGCATTCGTCTATGGGGAATTAGCTAGGTTTGCAATTTGGCTGCATCTACATTACTGTTTGCATTTTCTGGTCCCTTGGTATAAGCCTATTGCTCAAACTCAACTCAACTTTGTGCTCAAAGGGTGAACTTATTAACTGTATATTTATGACTTTATTTTTGTACTGTAAGCATCAAGGCTTTGTGTGATATTTGAATTGAAAGCTCAAAGGCAAGATTTTTTATAACTTGTATACTAAACTTTAATTTTGAAAAGTCTTCAGATTATTGAGAGAAAAAAATGCTTTTCTCATTATCAAAATGTAGCTGCTGAATGAATTTAGGAAACTAAAACGATTTTATGCATAAAAACGTTTTTGGGATAAAAAAAAATATCAGAGGGCACCCTTGACCTTGAGTCATCTCTCGGTTGTATCGCTTGGTCGAAAGAGTAGAATATATTAATGTTCTCTGTTCAAATGATTTCATGGCAGCAGTGGGCATAGGGAAAAACAAACAAACTTTCTAGGTGTGCTAGAAGACCACAAAAGAAAAAAAACAAAATCATTAATATCTTTGTGCAGTGTAAAAAAATTTATAGTAAACTGTCTTGCCTAAAATATTTCTATTTAGTTTGTAGTTTAAATTATATTTTTCTGATTGTCGTTTTATTGCCCTACACATTATCAACTGACTACATTGATAACCATGGCATAAAGTTCTGACTAAGCTATCAAATTTTATCAAAAAAAATGTGGTGTGCACGTATATGGGCACAATGACGTCATCACATAATTTCAAATTGTATAAAAAAGAGTTGAACACGTTTTTGATCAAAAAGTTGTCGATTTTTTTGAAACACTTTTTAACCAGTAAGCAAGCACTACAAATCACACCAACCAATCGGATTTGTTAATTAAATTTTATCAAAACATTACATTTTTTTAGGCAGATTGATGTATTTTAATGATAGTTGTTCCATCATATTATGTGATGCTTTTTTATTTAAATTTGATAGTGTAGACAGAGCTTCAAGGTGTTTTTAGAAAAAGAAAAAAGTACAAAAAAAAAGTTTGAAAAAATTATCATGCTGTTGGGCAATATTGTATTTTTAAATTAAGTGTCATGATATTCGATCAATCAATCAATCAATTAAAAAATTGTTTAAATAAGAACTAATGAACTAAGATTTGTTAGATGATCGATGATATCAAAGAGTGGTTTAATCTTACTCCAGGCCTGAATTTATTCAACATGTTTGATAGAATATACCCAGTTGTAAAGGTGATTCACCCTGCTTGCTTTGTTGAAAACAGACCAACCAGACTGAGTGACTCATCTGAATATCAATTGTTTTTATATACAATAACAATCCATTCTGATTAAAGGCAATACCTGTGATGGCCAAATAGCGAATTAATTCCAGAAAAATATACAGTTTATCTGAAAAATCATTATAATGTGGATTTAATGTCAGCTCCAATATGAATATATATCGCATTTGGTTAAGACTCGCAAAATCCATTGTTGATGATAAGGGAGACTGCAACTAAAGTAAAGCAAATGCTATAGGATTTGGTATTACTATTGATGTCATCAAAGAAAATTTCCGTAAATGCATACCTTTAAAAACCATTACTGTACAAGTTGCATTATTTCACAAACAAATGCTATATAGTAGTAGTAGGTATTCAGGGAGCTTAGTTTTCCATAGGGAAAGCTTAGTTTTCCATAGGGAAATCTACTTGTTTATGGATAGTGTATGATAGATGATGATTATAAAGAATGGTAGAGAAAGAGGTATAGAGAATGGTGGTGAGAGTGGTATTGAGAATGCTGGGATGACTGGTGATACTAGAGAAGGAAGAGTGGAAGGACGAGTAATGGGTAGAGTATTGGGAATGTGTTTGTATGGAGTGGTAGGTCAGCGAAATGCTTAACAATTATTGTTTTAGTTTATTTTTTTTGGTAAAACATACAAAATACCAGCCTATTTGGGCCAATGCACAATTCTAGTATACAGTAGGCTTGCTGGAGATATTTGTTAAGAAATGTACATTAGGTGTGATGATAAAATGACACATAAGAATATTTAAAAAGTAAATTAAGTAATAAATAAATTTAAAATAGTGTGGGGATTCCATCTACTGTATTTATTAAAGCATAATTTTGAATAATACTTAATAATTAATATTTGATATTTAATGTTTTACTTACAGTATGAATCAACAGACATTACTTTATTACAAAATCTATACCAGTATCTATACTGTATTTTTTTTGGGTATTATAGGTATCTTGACAGAAATACCTCAATTAAAATGAAAGGTATTTTTTATTGAAATTTTATTATACATTTTTTTTTTTTGCTATAAAATATGTTTTATGTAAAAGAAAGCCTATGTTATGCATTTTCAAAATTTCAGTATACCCAACTGAAAAATATTGCTTACTTAGGATGAGTAAAACACAGGGGGGAATGGTTGGCAAGCTACACTTTTAAGGGATATACTTCAAATTCATGCCCAGTTTGGAACACTATAAGGGATAAACTTGAAAGTTGATTCTTTCCATGACACTTGTCAAATAAACAATGTTAATGGATCTGGGTATTTTTTACATGCCTGTTCTAGTGATCAGTTTGAGGCAGTGCACTTGAGGATATGTCCCATATTTAACAATGCAATGATACTTTGTAGGCCATGTCAACCTGAGTCCTGAATAGGCTCTAATGTATGTAAGAAGTGATATGATACCTATGTAAAATAATTAAACTTGCAGCTTCAGTAGATTTAAGATTTTTTTTTATGAATAAAATTAATAATAATAATAGTTGGAGATGTGAACATTTTATAGTGAAGATAGCAAAGTTGATTGTGCTGTAGCATATTAACATGTTTTTAAAAGCAGCACGGTAATAATGATCATCAACAATGTTCCCCACGAGAGGATATAAAAATGAAAAACGAGGATCATACGCTTACTGTAAATTGCAGTCATTTCAAATTTTTTGCAAATGGTGTCTTTATTAGACAATTTTTAATTTTTATTGTGGGAACACAGCCTTACTGTATTTTTCACATGACTAAGGGTTAAGGTCATTCTGTGTCAATTTTAGAACTTTTCAAGGGACACCCTTGTTTGGCTCAGACTGACACAACAGCATGGAAAAGTTGCTCTTATAGAAACGATGTGGCTATTTATTATTTACGAACTAATATTGACTCCATCATTGATTAATAATAAAAAAAATCTTCGTTAAAAAATTGGAATACATTAACAATGGTGATCAAAACAAACAATATTGTCAATTCGAGTATGAGAGTGACACTTCAGCCTTCCTCGTATTATTTCACTCATAGAAGGGCGATTCCATTGTCGCCATTCCAACAGTTAACAGGGATTAAGCAGTGGTCAGATGTATTAATTTTTTTTTATTGTATCACGGTAAACTGTTGACAGATCAAAAATTTAATATTTGATATCAAATGAACTTAAGAAAACAATTTCTTTCGTTAAGTGCTAGTGTGTTCTTCAAAGAGGCGTACCGATACTTCTAATCCTTAAGAACTCATTAAGAAGTCAATTATACTTCAATATTAATCTGTGACTTTAAAAGTGAGAAATGTGTGAAATTAGATCAATAACTAAACTTTCAAGAGGGAGTATTATTTATTCTTTATTATTTTCTTGTTTTTCTTATTTCAGTCGCATGCGCTTGGTGTGGATCTACTGGAGGCTTGTTGTCAGAGTCTTAATCTTTTGGAAAGCGACTATTTCGGGCTTCAGTTTTACTCAAAAGACGACGTACCGGTGAGTTTTTTGTGTTGACTGAAATGGCATTGTTCAAGAAAGAGCTTAATTTGAACATGTACTACTCACTCATTAACAACACTCTGAAATATTAATAAAATTTACAAATGTGGCAAAGACTAGCCAAACTAGTCACTCGTCGCAAAACCTGTTTTGGAGATAATGGCCAAAATATGCTGGAATGTCAAATTTTTGGAAATCTTTTTTTTTGCGCTAAACTAACCTTTTCTATACATAATGCTATGCTGTTATTTTCCCCATTTTCAATGTTAAAACAACAATTTTTAACGAGTTGGTGATGGTTTCTGTCTAAGAAATGCTCAAAATCATAAACCGATTTCTCAAATATTGTTCTTTAAACAGCTGTATGTTTAAACTCCTGTAACTTCATAATAAAATGCCTGATTTTAAATGATTCTTTTACCATTTTATAGCTCTCATTTTACTGTACCTTGTATTAATAACTAAAAATCGATTTTTGCGACGAGTGACTGGTTTGGAAAAGATGTCATTGGCTATTTTAAGTTCTGCATTGTTAGCAAAATGTTTTTCTTTTTTCCCAATTAAATCAGAATAATTTGGCTTATTAGTCTGATAATTTTTCCTGTACTTTATCAAATATTACGTGACAAACCTGATCTGTCCATTTTTTGACGATTAATTACATCATCAGGCCCAGGGTGTGATATGACATCATCATAAATCGCACAAGTTTGTCACGTACTGTAACTGGGAACCTTCTTAATTAAAAGTTAGTTGTTAATAGTGAAAAAACGTACTGGGAACCTTCATTGGTTTAATCAAAGAAAAAAGAAATGACAAAAAATACATTATTAAAAGGAAATAGAATGTGAAAGAACTATAAATTAGATTTAATGAAGTCCTACGAAAAATAATAATTATGATACAGAAAAAAAAGGACTGGCCTTTTGTTAATTTCATTTATTTAAAAATTAACAATAAATGAGTCAGCATCCTTTTTCTAAAATTCTTGATTAAGAATAACAATTACCATAGGAATGAAGAAAGAAATATTTTCCCTTTTATTTAGTATACTGAAATTGATGAGAGAAAATTCCCTCTAGTATTAATAGTATGTAGTATGCTGAAGAGAAAAATTATCATCCCCTTCAGAAGTTATAAAATTAAAATTAAACTAATCTAAGGAATTATATTCTGAGTTGTTTAGATTTTGGTATACAGTGCATCTTGAAACCATGCTTCATCGATTTTGTATAGATCTATTGTTATGAATTTTAACACCCTTGCATGGTGCATTAGCATGGGTTTTATATGCCTAAGTCCTAAGGCTATTTATATAACCCCCTGCCTAACCTAGGCCCTTCCTGCTAAATATTATTGGAATTGATTGTAGACACCCTGCACTGAAACTAACGAGATGGCTTCGATCCGATTCCTGCATGCATGTGCTGCAGGCCTAGCCAACGTTCCTGCCAGTGAAGCGATAAGCCGAGGATCTATCAATAAATTAAGACTGGGATTTACAGTTGTGATTAATTGCCGACATGGAATTTGATATTTTAAGTACGGTTATTTTACACGGAGTAATTAATAGAACGTTGTCAAGCTCTCCTAACTTTCTTAATGGAAGGACTATCGGCAACAATGTGAAAATGCAGTCTAGGGTGAGATTCCTGTAGAATAGGGTGCCCGGAAATAGTGACATCTGCTATAATCTTGTATAAATGTTGGTTTTTATTATGTTGATAACAATTGTTATTTTGGTATATTATTTTCTTTGAAATATTTATATATTGGTTATTATTATTTTTTTTTTTTATGTTATTGTTTTTCCATGAGAATACAGTAGTGTAGTTTTCTGATGCTTGAAGAGGAAGGATGCTTGAAGAGGAAGGATGCTTTTAGAGTACATTTTATTTAAATAAAGCTTTAAATGTTCTTGTAAATTACTGTTTTTGAAATATCTATCGCTAATAATATTTAGATTTTTATTTGTAGAATATTAGAATATAAATGTTAACATTTTTAGAACTTATATTATGTTCTTTTTATCAATCAATCAGTCAACTTTCTTTAGGTCATGTTTTATCATTTAATTTTATTGTTACAGATATGGCTAGACAGCGAGAAGATGATTATAAAACAACTGGCGGGTATGTTGGCCTATGCTTATATCAAATTTATTATCTATTTATTACCAGATTATTTTTATGTTTTTCAATACTACCATGCAATTGGTATACAGTACTTCTTGAACTACATTGTTTCTCAAACAGCAAGGATAACAGTTGTGTTTAAAAAAAATTAATGTATCTACGTGTTTATTTTTCCGCAAGTAATGTCAACACTTAAAGCAAAAGCCTCATAAACCTGATAAACCATAGCATTGTACAGTGTACAAAGTAAACAATAACATTTGACTATCAAGATAGATTTTCCCTACTGTAGAATGTCAATTTTTATGTGACAAAAAAAATGTGACATACCTAAATATTGTCATGAGGACATCACATCATGACCATATATAGACACATCATGACTATATATGGGCATACGACAGGTTTTTGTCAAATAAATTTCCAAGAATAGCAAATTTTGTTAATTTGACAAAAAAAATGTGACATGCCTAAATATGGTCACGATGACATCACATCATGACCATACATAGACAACCATGACTATATATGGGCATACGACAGGTTTTTTTCAATGAATATTTGATAAAGTGGACTTATGCTACCATAGTTCCTGTGGTACAGTGAAAGCCTAACTGTACCTCTTTGAAAATCAAAATTGGGCTGATCTTGTGGAGTATTAAAAAAGTCAGCTAAGCTACTCATTCAAATCATAGGCTACGTTCAGACTTGGAGATAAGCCAGGCTAAATGCTAAGCCCGGCCTAACTTTGGCAGGCGTTCAGACTAGCGGGATTAGCCAGGCACGAGAATTTTCATAATAATAACCGTAACCAGCAAACGTGTTTCAAAACATTGCTCGCGAAATGTACGCTTGGTCACAGCGTAAGTAATTGAATGCCGATTGGTCATTTTGTTACCCAAAGTCAATGCAAGACCCCCCGCAATGATTAAAGTCTGGCTTAGAAAAGTTAAACACGGTGGCACGCCAGACCTAGTTACTATAGGAACACAGCCCGGCCTGAGATAAGCCACCTAATTCAGACTGGCAGGTGGATAAACCCAGTGAATTGAGCCGGGTTTATCCACCTAGTCTGAACTAGGCCTTATTCTGGTCTTTTACCTTGGAAATTCTGGTACGTACTGTAAATCCTCGATTAAATGCCGCTCTCCAGACATGATTTTTTAAAAACTAGCGCCGCTCTCATATAAGCATCTGTCTGTGTGTAGTGATGCACTTTGAGAAACTCAATTCAAATGAATAAATAACACAATGAAGACACAAGATGAATAAATAACACAATGAAGACACAAGCATCTTTATAAACGTTTATTTACGATGATCTTATTAAAGGCCTACCGAACAACGGGAATACAAGAAATAAGTGACATGGGAACAGGCATGGAAAGCGACACAGCAATATTTTTTTAAAGCGCTGCTCTCAAATACGTGCCGCTCTTGAATACGCGCTGATCTTGAATAAGAGTAGTACTGAAGCCTCCAAAAATTGTATTTCACTGCAGTGCTTATTTGAGGATTTACAGTATGTTTGGAGGTAAATTTAAAAAATGGGCTTTTACCCAAGGAACTATGGTACTTCCATAACGATTTAGACTGATGAAATTTTATTTTTTATTTTTTTTGTGGAAAGTGTCGAATGCTGTTAGATAATAAGGAACTCTCACCTAATATATGTAAAAAATTGAAGCTTAGCATTTGCAATGTGTTAAAGAAATTTGCTTTTACGACTTGTAAAGTAGGACTGTGGTGTACTTTACACGTGTTTTTTTAAAGACTCGAAACAAGTGTCATACTTTTTATTATGTTTCATGTTTTTATTATGATCACATGTGATTATAACCTGCTTGGGAAATCATTTTATATTATTTTAAATATGAAATAATTTGAATGAAAAAGAAAATACTAAACCATTTTATTCTGTAATTTATTAGTATCTGATAAAACATAAAATTGTTTTTTACCCATGAAGATATATAGTTACATTAAATAACAGGTGAGAATATAGTATTATAATTATGAGGAGAAACATATACATGGACATGTATATCCACTAACAACTAAATACATTTGCAGCTCATATTGACTATCGAATAATTATTAGGTGCTTGAGAACATCACTGTGTAAAGCTATATTGTTACCCAGACTTTGACCTTTCAACTGTACTCTATACATTTGTTTTCTTATCCAGGGGTGTTCTATATTGTCTAAATGGCTTTCCCTAATATGATATTTTTATTTTAAATTTCTCAAAGGTCAAAATGTCCCCTTTCTCGTGATAAGAAAAATAAAGCATATTTGCTGTGCTATTAATGATTGAATGATAATGAGGAAGGTGATGAGTTCAATGATATTGAAGAAAGATAAGAGGTATGCTCACATTAAGACCCATAAAACAAAATAAAGATTAGTTGTAACTGTGTAAAGTAGGATTTCGTAAGACAGTTTTTACAGTAGTTTCTATTTTTCATTGTCACATTAACATTTAATATACTTCAGTGCAGAAAACAATTTACTTATGGGTGTCATTAAGAGGTCTATCGTTTTTATATACACACGCCAATTCAAAGTTTTGAGCGCCACTTCCGACTGTTTACCAGGATTTATAAAGACTAATTGAATCTTCTGTATCTTTGTATATCATTTGCATTAGTTGAATGGGACTTACTGTGATTAAAAAATAGCTTAGTGCAAACATAGATATTAATAAGGTTTTTTTTTTTGTAAAATGGGATGATGATGACATTTAAAATTGTGGGTCATTGCATGCGAAATGGAAAGGTATTATTTATTGTTAAATGGCTAGAGAATTCATTCTCATTCTAATTTTCAATTGAAAGGTAACTGTATAATAATTTACATTCACAAAGGTAAAGCAATCCAAATATTGATTTTGTTTTTCAAATTCTTTAACTCATCACAGGTAGCATCTTTAAACATAGTTCCAACAAACTAATTTTACAATGTACAGAAAGATATAGGGGCCTATGTTAAGCAAGATCACACACTACAGTAATAATACAATCAAGGCAATTCATGATCTGAAAAACATATCTTATAAATGCCAAGGAAAATCACAGGACATCATAATAAATGTCATGCAAAATTTGACATAATCCATTATAAATTTCAAATATGATTTGATATCATAATATCATAAATGTCAGACACTATTTATCATAGAATTGTTAAGCAATTTGTAGTTAGTTGTTTCTCATATATTTGTAACTATTGATTTAGAAGTTAATCTGCTGTTTTTTCAAATAAAACATTCAAACTGGAAGGCTTGGAGAGTCTTTAATTCATAGCTTTTTCCTTTTTTTTTTTTTATCGTAAATTAGGAATGAAATTTGATATATAGTAGTGTCAACATAGTAATTTAAAAAGAAAATTTAATTTTAATTTCAAATTCAAGTATAACTTTATGACAATTCCGATTCAAACATCAAATAACATAGTTAAAAAGTAAAATGGCATGTAAAATTTAGGAACAGAGATGGTGAATTGAAATTGAAAAAAGGTATTCAAAACAAGCAAAGCCTTTTCCAGGAAGTCCTGTACTGTACCTATGGTAACAATAGTACAGATCTTGTAAATAACAAGGTCTTGAAATAATTTATTTAAAACAAGATCCTGCATAATCTCCAATTAATATTTACAATTTAACAAGATCTTAAAATAATTTATTTAAAACAAGTTCTGGCATAATAAAGTATTGAACATTAACATTATATAAAACAAAATGAGATGTGAAAATGTAAATTGTCATCATCATTTGTAGTAATACAGAATATAAAGCACAATGTGAGGTTGCCGCTGTGGAGTGTACTATACAGCAACACAGCTCTTAATGCCCATGACTCATCTCATTCAGTTATTCTTAGATGGATTATTTTTCTACGATAATATATTTTGGCTTTCCTAATGAAATCGTAGACATACCATCTATTATTGCCTTGTTTTTAGCATTTGCTTGCTTTCATTTCAATTGAATGGTGAATTTTTGAGACAGAATATACATCAACACTAACTCATGCTGATACAGTATTTGAAAGCGCTCTCTTTTAATACTCTAGGTACTGTAGCATAAAAATCCATTTTAGGCAATCTTGTTCTATGGCATTGACTCAGTCTGACTCACTATTAATTTTGTTAATGTTTGTGATGTGTGTTGTTCTTATTTAATTATTTACCACCATTTTATTTTGGCATTTGTAGGATTGGTACAAAACTGTTTCCACAACAGACATAATTTCTGTAATACCCTGCTTACTACAGTACCAAGCATTTTTATCAACACCAACTTCTATTTTGATGTAGTATTTGAGAGCCCTCTCTTAATAATGTGGCATGAAAATCTGCTTTAATAGGCAATCTTGTGCTCTGAAATTGACTCACTGTGACTCACTATTATTTTTGTTAATGTTTGTATTATTTTGTTAGTGTTTGTATGTGAGAATACTGTATATAGGATAATAGGTACAAAACTGTTTGATTTCCACAATAGGCATAGTTCCTAATACCTCAGTACCACCAGGCAGTTTATATCTTCGCATCCAGTAACTACTGATACTGTACCCATCTTATTATTATTATTTTTATAATTTCTGTTATCATTACTATATTTTGTTTTATTTGTTAATAAAACAAAACTTATACTATTGTACTATTATACTTTACTTGTTGTTGGTTTTGTTGTTGTTCTTGTTGCTGCTGTTGCTGTTGTTTCCAACGTTATAGCTTCCGTTGTACTTTTGCTGTTATATCATCCGTTTGGTTTGGCTCAAAGGTAGAAAAAGCTATTTAGGGGTTTTTGATAAAGACGATAAGAGACTTTCGATAGTCTGCTAAATAATTATAGTAATGGTTGGCGATGGTGATCATCGATGACAGTTTAAATTATGGAACTCGCATCTCCACACGTTAATGGACTGGATATCAAAGTCGATAACTATAACGGAAAGCGACCTCATAAATCATGTGCTTTGATGGGTTCCTA